CCAGACAGCTGAGGCACTCTGCCAATGGACTAACCTGCCGTCTTGCTCTTAGGCCAGAGAATAAAGATGTTCCCTGTGGTAGCCTGCCTGGAACGTGAATGAGCTGAATGCAGATTTTTTGGTGGAATAGTCTGGGGAAAAGATGCAGCATCTTGCAAAGGTACGGGCTGTGAGCGTTCTTCGTGTCAGCGGTACCACCACTGAATGCCACTGCGAACTGAAATGCTGATGCTGTCTGAGCTGGTGTGAGGCCGTTTCCTAGACTGGCAAGATAGGACCACTTAGTGTTATAGATCAAAATCAGCTTAATGAATGCATGACAGGAAACTTCACGGCAAGGGGCCGTTTGCTGGCAGAGTAGCTGCAGTCTCCAGGCAGACTACAGCTGATGTATTCGTTTTCAGTAACCCTGTGCTGTGGCAGCAAAGGCTGCAGGTTTTTATTTGAATGGAGCAGGTACAACTCACCCACGGAGGTGACAACAAACCAGCATGACCTTGGCTACCTGGTGTTCTAGCTGAGCATTCACACTGGATCCACAACGGCTGCGCTGTCTCTGTCACAGGGGACCGCCGTCTCCCCGCTGCATCTTCTGGCTGCTGCCCCTAAGCAGGCAGCATCATCTCTGCCCAGTCTTGATTTTCTGCCAGCCTTCCTCTTCCTCCTACTGCTTGCAGGAGTTATTTTCAGGCTCCATTCGTGCCCTGCAGTGCCCACTGCACCCACAGAGGTGAAGGTGTAAGGCTCTCTGCTGTTCTGGTCAGTGAGGGTACTCTTCATGTGTCCTTCCTCTCTTGAAGAGCCTCTAAGAGACACAAGGAGAGTTTTTAAGTATCTGTGATGCAGTTAAAAAGAGCAGTGATTACAATCAACATGACAGAGAAGAACCGTAGGCACTGTTTTGCAGACCTCTTTGTGAGGTGGGACTGATGTGCATCCAAGCACCGCACAGCAAGTGGAAGTCTCTCCAGTGGCTTTCAACTTTTTTAATGGGTATAAATATTTTTATTTCCTTCCAACACCAGATCTCTTCAAGAGCAAGCGTATACAGTGCTCAGACTGAAAAATTAGCCTGCTCTTAGCCTGATATCAACAGGAACTGCACTGAGATATAATTGTGGTAGGGACCGGATAATGGCAATAATAGTTAGCATGTTAATTGTTTTAACTCCCTGAAGAATTTTGTGACTGCCTGATCTAAAAAGCCTGTTGTCTTGCCTGTATGGTTTTTTTGTGCATGAGCTAACTCCTTCCAATTCCCAGCCTACCTGAGAGTGCCCTATTAATAGCCAAGGTAGCTTTTGAAATTAGGAGTTCCTAGCTCTTTTTATTTTCCCCTGTCACAGGACACTGTCCATTCCCTGCAAGAGTTTAGTCATGGTGAGCCGTGTTCACAATGAGCTTGCAGTAGATGCCAGAGGCCTTCCTGGCGTAAATGCAAATCCCATTTTGTTTAGTTGATAAATTTACCTGTTCTGATACAAGCAGCCCTGCTTTCCTTTGTTGCTAGAATTGTTACAACAAATATCAGATTAGTTTTTCATGGGATGTACGCTCACATGAAGCCTTCATGTGCAAAGAGGTTGGTGCTGCTGTGCTCCAATTCCCATCCTGTCACATTACAAATTGATAACTCAACTCACTTTCTCCATATCATGCTCAGCTGTAATCACACATGAGGCATTTACTCGGGTGAGATTGCTGAGGTGCAGGACGCGTAGTGCCGAGGGAGCCCCTAAAGGGCTTCTAGTGCTCATGTCGCCAGTGAAGTCTGAGGGCTCTATAATCATACACCAGTGCCAAGGTTCTATATGCTAAAACCAGAAGGTACGAAAATAGGAAAGCAAAGAAAATAAATGCTGTGTTTGTTACACAGAGAGTATGTTACAGCTGAAAAAAACAGTGCTCTATCTAAAATTGTGCAAGAATTTTCTTTGGGGTCAGTCTCGAAGTTTGTGAAAGGTCACTATTCAGAATGACTGCATCCGAATTAGACATATATTCTTATACTTAATAATACTACAAAAGCTCTCACCTTATTATTCAGATAAAATCTTCTATTGTTATGTGTCATGAAAGCAGAAAGCAAAGTAATGTAATAGAAGACATAGGTTTATATCTGGAATTTCAGATCCAAAATGGTCTTGATAATGCTGCAGTCTCGGACCCAGACATGATATGAGAAAAAGGAAACAAAGCTTTTGCAAATATTTACAAAACTGATTGTATACTCAGGTGTAGAAGTGCCCAGTGCTGTCCCAGTGATGTCCTTCAGAGGACATTGTTTTCTGCTGATGTTTAATCTAAAGATTATTCTATTAATTGAGGTGAACTTGCATAATTATTTTAATACAATACTACTGCTCTTACCCTGAGGCTGCACCAAGGACAGGCTATGTGCATAATTAAAAATACATCTTCAATATGCACATATGTAGTCCCAGCTATATATGGATGCATATGAACTCCAAACAGCTGTGAACAAAAAGAAAGATCAGGACCACTTATGGCAATCTATCCACAGGACCAGAATATGGATATTGTTACACACTGTTCGTTTTTATTTGTCAATGGATTACAGAACAATATAATTTGCTCTGAAAACAGTTCTGCACTGTCATAGTGGAATATCTCAGTTTTTGTTACTGTGTGTGCTGACTAGCCATGTTCACTAGTCTTCAATATCTTCTTCAGTCTTTAATCCTTTATATGCTTTCTTTCAAAATAGACAACATAATCAGACCTGGTAATCAACGAGCTCAGTACCAGAACAATCTTTTCATCTGTCTTTCTCTGTTCCGGCATTTATGAAATAGCAAAAGCCATACTTCGGACATCCCTGTTCTCCCCCATATTCAAATATACACAGAATAGTGAGCCTAGAGGTGTTAAGGACTACTTGCAGCAAAGAAATGTTTGTTCTGAAAAGGAGATTTGGTACGTGATAGCTTTCCCCTGGGAGCATGCGGCTACTGGCTTGCAGTGAATTGTGGTGTTTTCAAATTGTACTGCTGAAGCAGTTTTGAAGGAGAATACCCTTAAGGTATTAAGGTATAAGATGATGATGCATTGGACTGTGCATCCTGCATATACTTTTCAAAAGGTTCATAGATGTACTTTGTACATGTCCTGTTTAATTCCCTTGAGAGCTTATTTGGGGAACAGAGAAAGTGACAGAGTGGAGTTAGACCTACTGAATCTTTGAAAGCGAATTTCCCACTTAAATGGGCAAAGCAGCTGGTTTCCTGGCAGCCAGGAATACCTTGAAGAGACCTGAGCCTCCATCCCACTTCCTAGAAGTGAGCTGAGAGGGTGACAGCGGGCTCGCGCCGACACACCAGGAAGTGCCTCCTGTTGCAATGACTCCTCCAGATACCGGCAACTCTACGCACGAGAATTGCGTTGCTGGCTTGGTGCCACCTCTATAAAACAACCTGCTCTGGCCAACCGCTGAGACATCATCTTTCGGCTGGTCCCTGGGGTGCGAGAGATGCAGGTGTGCTGGCAGCACGGGAGGAGGTAGGGAGCTGCCTTGCTGCAAAAGGAAAGCAGGGGAGTTGCCAGCAGCAGAAGACAGTGCCTGTAAAAAGTTTTCTCTAAGCTCATGTAGCCCTTTTCCTTTGTTTTTCCTCTTTGTGGAGTAAGCCAAAGCTTTGAGTGTACTAGAAATGTGGGTAAGGGGTGGCGGGGTTAGGACAGGGAAGCTGAAGACTGTCACAGTAACGTAGAGTGTGTGTTTTTGGTGAACATCATTCATTTCTGTGCAGATAACCTTAAGCTGTGACTTCTCTCTTCATATATGAAGGAGGCAGGAATATATTATTTGTGTAGCATACACAGGACATTTTGAAATTATGTGGTGATACTTTTTTATTTACTTGTTGAGCAGAACTAGTTTGGCTTCGGTTTTGCAGTTGGTGATTTTCATAGCACCTTGTGTGACACCCTGTGTGAGCAGTGAATCTTGCAAGCTAGTGGGGAAGAGGCAAACGCTTTCAAAATAGGAAAATTTGACTGAACGCTGGCAGGAGCTCAAAAGAAATTACATACTGTGAAGAGGTACTCTCAGTTCAGTTTTACAAGAGTAAAATGTCAGGACAGCTGTATCCCCTTCAGATGATATTTTTTGACTGAGGCAAACACTGGTGGCATGGCTTTCTTTGGCTTGTGCTTCTTGCTTGCTGAATAAAAATGTTGAACTTTTCTGTATTTTTGTTGTGAATCCGTCATTGCTGTTGAAAACTGTTAAAGTTCCTGCTGCTTGAGATTCACACCTGAAGTCTTTGCTTCCTCATTGTCACAGCGATTCTGTGTTACTTTTCATTACAGGATTGCTTAAATAGTCAAATTGGTTACTGAAGGTTTTTTTCTCTCCTGACTGCCTCTAGAGAGCATGGGTACATTTTTCAAGGGAATCTGAACTGATTGGTTGAGAGGAATTCAGGACTCTGCCAGTCTCGGTGAAAGTCAGAGACAGGAAATGTCTCACTAAAAGCAGGTTAGTAGCACTTATACCAAAGTCAAATTGATTAGTTTTTTAGACAATTGGAGGGATAAAGTAGTTAGTGAAGACTGGCAGACGTGATAGGACTGCTAGCCCTCATGGAGTAGCAAGAAGGCTGTTTACATGAACGGCTGTTGAACACACAGCGGGCTGTGAGGTTCAGCATCCTCGACATGGGGTCCCCCCAATGGTTGTCCAAAGATATGTCCAGATGGCTTTATCTTGATCTTGTGGGTTATAAATGTTACATTTTATTTTTACTTTTCCAGAAACATCATTTGACTCAGTGACGAATTAAAACTGACAGCGCCACAGAACCGTGTGGGAGAAAAGGGGATTTTAGACTCAAGTGACACAATCAAGTCTTGAGAAGTAAAGAGATTTGGATGTTTTCTCACCAAATGGAAGTTATCTAGAAAGCCTCTGAGACCACTGCATCTCTCTATCCCACTCCTGCTGTGCAGAGACAGTGCTTTTAGCCCTGGACGTTAATAAAATGCTGGATTCAATCAAATGTGTTCTTGTGGGAGACTCTGCTGTGGGGAAAACATCTCTCTTGGTACGTTTCACCTCCGAGACTTTTCCAGATGACTACAGACCAACTGTATATGAAAATACTGGAGTGGACGTCTTCATGGATGGTGTACAGATTAGCCTAGGTCTCTGGGACACATCTGGCAGCGATGCCTTCAAAGGCATTCGCCCCCTCTCATACCAACAGGCAGATGTTGTATTAATGTGCTACTCGGTGGCAAACCACAATTCCTTTCTGAACCTGAGAAACAAATGGATTGGTGAGATCCGCAGCCACTTGCCCCGCATCCCCGTTTTGGTAGTGGCTACTCAGACTGACCAGCGCGACGTGGGGCCCTACCGTTCCTCCTGCATCAGCTCGATAGATGGGAAGCGGCTGGCCCAGGACGTGCGCGCCAAAGGCTATTTGGAGTGCTCTGCCCTCAGCAACCGAGGGGTGCAGCAGGTGTTTGAGTACGCCGTGCGGACAGCAGTCAATCAAGCCAAGCGGCAGAATAGGCGGAAGCTGTTCTCCATTAATGAGTGTAAGATCTTTTGAGGACCGTCAGTGGTGGTTTTCTGCCCACATTCACCGTTTCTCTCTTCACATGAAGATACTGCGGCAGAGAGAATGGGAGGTGAATCAAAGGCGGACTCCCAGCAGGTGCCCCTGGAGAGACAGATGTGCGCTCCATCTGATCTACTTACCCCAGACACATGTGGGAACTATCTTGAAAAACGAAAGGTGCAGATACATTCTTTTATTCACAAACCTGTGTTTGGACTTCACTAGCCTGGACTGGAGCGGGCCTTGCCTGGAGATCTCCTGATAATAGCTGTGCTGATTGCGTTGTTGTTTCTGTTGATGTTCCTCAGTTGTTGGTTTGCCTGCATTTATTTAATGATAAACGTCTGCCTTGATTGACCCTCACTTCTTGATATATCTGTCCATGTGGAGTTTATTTTTACTTTAAGTGCTTAATGTATAAAATCTAACTACTGTGTATTCTATTTAAAAGACTCTTGTATACGTTGTTGTAAAATCTTGACAGTTTGTTTTCCTATTTTGAAGGTTCTACCTTTAGCTAACCACAGAAGCAAATTTATTAAATGGCCTACAGGCAATTCTACCATATCTTAGACATACTCAAATCACTGCATAACAGCGAGTTAAGCCAATACATCCAACATAGGAGTGATCAAATCTTAGTGACATTTGACAGCAGTCCTGTGGCCCTGTGGGATTTATTTTGTTATCTTAATCTTCTTCCTCAAGACTGTGGTCAAAGATAGGATGAACAAGGAGGAAACAACCTGATTCTTCTTAGACCTGGTTACAACCCCAGACTGGCTTGCAGTCCCGGTTGGTTTAGACATGTTATTGGGGTGACAGAGATGAATCTGTGCTGCCACCACCTCTGTTGTCCCTGCTGTAATTCTGGGGGCAAAAGATTTTTATCTCCAGAGATGAAAGTTATGTTTTCAAGACCACTAAAATTCTCACTTATTTTTAATACACTTCTTTCTGAAACAGTGATTTTAGGGAAAACCAGTCACATTTTATAGTGAAAATCTAGGTACATGGCAATGTTGAAATGTGTGTACTTAGAACAGCTAAATAACTTTTTTTTTTTTTGAGTCTGCATACCAAGATTAACTGCCTGGATTTTTATTAAAATAGGACTGAAATGGGCTTTGCACCCTGGTGAGTGTGTCAAGTCTATGAGTCAAATCCTAAAGTAACTACTCTGGCCAAATTGTCCTCCTGCACAGAAAGACAGGATAAGGAGGTGGAAATTCCAGGTGTGTAAGTGAACTCTGCTAGAAGATGGAGTGGGGTCAGCGTGCAAGGCTATACATTCCTTGCGAGTTGTTTTGTTCACTGCATCCTCAGATTATCTGTCCCTCTGCCCTGCATTATCTCTCAGTCTTGCAGATCTGCTGCATCCCAAGGTTTCTGCTGCCCATAGGGGAGATTTTTTCCTCCCTTTCCCTGCTCTTCAGCTAGCTCAGAACTGACCTTTGAGGGGCTTATAGCATGGTGCCATGGAAGATGACACAAAGCACAGTAAGGTGATTCTACCTCCACATGGATCCCTTGAGAATGACCTGTGGCTGTTTCGACTGAGCCTCGACTCATGTTTCAACAGGAATGAATGCAGTGGCTTGTCTTATTCAAATCCAAGGTGGGACTTCAGGAGTTACCTACTAGGCAAATAAGCTATAGCTCAGATCGTAACTATCTATAGTTTGTCTCTGAAAAACTGGCTGAGTGCTCTTCTTCCTACTGTGTTCTTCCTCTGAGCTTCTCTATAAAGAGAAAGTCCAAATTAAGTCATTCCCTTCCTATGAATCCCAGAGATGATCTCACCTGCGATATAGGTGAGCAAGTATTTGCATTGTGGGCACCTTGAATACCAGTGGTGCACAGGACACTTGATGCCATGGTCATCGTGCCAGCTCCCAGGCTGGTGAATATTTACCACACATCAATCTGATTGTAAGGGATGCCTCTGGTCATAAAAACATACCGGTCTCATGTAAGATTTTGCTATCAGCTTTAGATCTTTACAAAATTCTGCACCCAAGTACACAAGATGACGGCTCCCACCACTGCTGGTCTTTCCTTTACCCTTCTCTTCCTCACCTCTCTCTCTCTTCACGTTGATCGCAAATCCTTTGCCCCCTGAAACACTAAAACTGACATGTTTGTAAAAGAATCTGAACAGCAAGTTACTTGTGCAGAGCTACACAACTGACTAGGTATTTGCAGTTAAAAACCTTCTGGCTCTTGGAAGAAATATGTTTCTACACCTAAATGCTTACAATGCCTCTTCACTGAAAGTTTTGGCGTTTTTTTAAACATTATTTAAAAATAGACATTGTTACTGTTTGAACATTAAAGATCACATGCAAAATGTCACCTTGTGAATCTTCAAATCTGTTGCAATTGTAGACATTTTTGTTACGGTCCCCACTCCACTAATGAATTTATACTTGGTTTCAACTTTTTTTAAGACATACTTTTGCCAACGTGTTCTAATAAATAGTATTTTTTGTGTGTGTGTTAAGCTTTGTTTACAAGAGTTCATGGTACTGATTTTGCGTGTTGAAGAGCAGTGAGCGCTAGGCCAAGGTGCTGTGTCACAGTATCTGCCATGGGATGCCAGATTCAGGGACCAGAAGGCTCCTGGGAGTTGTTGTATCAGACAAAGGCAGATGAAGATACGCTCCAGAATCACACCGTAACTGAAAATCCCATCTCACCCATGTGTGCCTCACGAGGCTTGTTGCGGTGTATTACAAAAGGAAGAATTCAAGGCTTGCTTGCAATTCAGTGGAGTGGACAGGCTGCCGTGAGATGTCTGAGCTGATGCTGCACGATGCCCAGGGAATTTACAGGTGGCTTGACATACTCTTGATTGTGCATCCTAGAGCCAGTGCAAGGTGTGAGGCCACTGAAAGTCGGCTGATTTTTAAAATCAAATTGAAGAGAGGATAAAGTAACAGGGTTGGGTGCTATGTAGAAAAAAAAAAAGGTCCCATTTTTCACAGCCTGGTTATTTTCAGGCTCACAAAGCTAAAATGCACTTTTCACCAGGAACAAACTGTGAGGCACGTTATTTTAGTAGCTAATTATGCAGATGTAGAACTGACGTGCTCAAAAAGTGTGGCAACTCAAATACAGAGAGTGAAATCTGGACGTGGCAGAACTCAGCAGAAGTTTCAGCCGACTGGCTTATTGGGGTGGGGTTTGTGCAACTGCAGCTGTGCTGCACGTGGCATGAACGGTGTGGAACTGCCGTGAAACCCTGCCCGGGGGTTTTCGGGCAACAATGTCACTGGGTGCAACTTGATGGTAAAAATCTGGCTCTCATATTCAAAATACATTCAAATGAAAGCTGGGCACACATATTAAGATTCAACTTCTTTCGCTCTGAAAAACAGCAGGTTGGGGGGGGGGACACACCAAAATAACGTGCAGTCTGGCCTCAGTTGGGCTGAGCTGTTCAGCTAAGGGAAGAGACCTTGCCCAAATGACCCCTTTCTATTTTCTCAAGCCAGTCTTGCTAATTTTACTTTCACTTGCTATTAAAATAGGTTAAATGTTAAAAAAAACCCCCAACCTAAAGTGAAAATACGTGGAAATTAAAATGAGAAGAGCAGTAGCACTGTTATTTTGGTCAGCATCTGACTTCTCATTTTGACAGAAAAATTCATTTTGGGTCACATTGTTCTACTGAATTCTGCAAGTCAGATAAGAAGTTGAATAGATATGTAATTGTGATTTAAATCAGAAACTATTCTTTTAGCAGAAAAAAAATAAGTATTTTCCTCTAGTAATTTACAGAATGTGGTGAGAACATGTTACATTATTTTAAATACAGATTTCCCAATCTTTTTATACTAACTTGGTTTGTAACATGCAATATAAATATTTTCTAAGAATAAATAATAAAAAATATGTTTCAGATCTTCCCTTCCAATTTTTCATATGGGAAATTATTCAAGCTTATTAGATATAACTGATACTGTTTTCCTTGATTTTTGCATTTAACAGTTTGCAAATATTTGTGCAATTTTTGTGGGTGCTCTGCAATTACTAAGATGTCTGAACACATACTAGCTAGTGCATGTATTGATAAAGAAATGCACTTAGTCTTCTTATGCATAGCACCTCAATGATACAAATCACCACAGGGATCAGACACAAAGAGAAAAGAAACGCTGGCATTCTGACATTGAAGCCTTTCCTGTATTACTATTGCATTTGAGTGAATACAGCCATTAAAATAATTTCAAATAAATGGGGCAATTCATGTCTTTTAGCACTTTCTCCTAATGCCGTTGCTACACGGGGCTCAGGTTAATATATAAAGAACAAAAAGCTTCATTTCAGAGCATGATAACGGCTTGTCTGCTCTTGCCTTTGTGTGCAAGTTAACAACCCTGACTTAATTAAAAGTCAGTTCTGCCTCTGAAAAAAGCCAGATACGAGCACAATCGAGTAGCCAAACTCCCTTGTTGGAAACGACAGTAATGAACTGTTCTCTACAGATATGAGGAAACGTATTTTACATTTCAGACATTTCCTTCACAGCTGTAAAGTGCAAAAAAATTCCTGACTAGTTATCGATGTATACCTGTCCTGGCTGACCCGCAGGCCTTTCACGTCATGCTCTGGGCAGGCCTTAAAAAACAAAAATTGGGGAAAACCCCCAACCTTTGTGCATATCTAGATGTACATATCGCTGTAACTGCTTAGCTACAGCAATTCCCTGGACCTCTCACTCCGTCACGGTGTGACCACAGAGCTGCTGCATGCCAGCATGGTCTGTGCTGCTCGGGAGACCAAAGGCCGGCATCCCCAGCCTGCCCACACTGCCCCAGCGAGACAGGATTCAAGTAGGACAGAAGAGATGCTCCTCAGGGCTCCCCTTAGCAGGCATCGCAGGCAATCGCCCTATTCTGCAAACAGAGCTGCCTCTGCCTCCATCAGACTTCTGTCAGCTGCGGGCGCCTGTGCAGTAACAGATTTATATTGTGCGCCATTTCTAA